TTTCTTTTGGAGGAATGGCTATACTATATATTTTTAAGCCATATTTGTAAAATGTTTGGGGTGTAAATGAACACAGATAATGAATATTAATTTTAAAGGTACAATGGGCTTGTGTGTAAATCACTACATAAAGCATTAGTATTTCAATGCATATTCAATCGTTTTTCAACAGTTGCTGTTTTTATTTTTTTGTTGTTGTTATTTATTTATTAGACGGAATCTTGCTGTGTCTCCCAGGCTGGAGTGCAGTGGTGCAATCTCGGCTCACTGCAACCTCCGCCTCTGGGGTTCAAGCGATTCTTCTGCCTCAGCCTCCCGAGTAGCTGGGACTACAGGCGCGTGCCATCACACCTGGCTAATTTTTATATTTTTAGTAGAGATGGGGTTTTACCATATTGGCCAGACTGGTCTTGAACTCCTGACCTCAGGTGATCCTCCCACCTCGGCCTCCCAAACTGCTGGGATTACAGGCATGAGCCACTGCACCTGGCCAACAGTTGCTGTTTTTATTGGAAAAAACAGAAAGCACTGGAAAAATAATCACCAGTTTTGTCATTAAAGATTTTTCATCCACAGATATCAAAACTATTAGGTGAAAAACTGTTGGAGAGGCCAGGAGCGGTGGCTCATGCCTATAATTCCAGCACTTTGGGAGGCCGAGGCAGGCAGATCACCTGAGGTCAGGAGTTCAAGACCAGCCTGGCCAACATGGCAAAACCCCATCTCTATGAAAAATACAAAAATTAGCTGGGAATAGTGGCACACACCTGTTATCCCAGCTACTAGGGAAGCTGAGGCAGGAGAATTGCTTGAACCTGGGAGGTGGAGGTTGCAGTGAGCCAAGATCGTGCTACTGCACTCCAGCCTGGGCAAAAGAGCAAGACTCTGTCTCAAAAAAAAAAAAAAAAAAAATTGTTGGAGAATAGAATATCCATACACTCTCAAGGCAGTTCCCCCCGGATTATTTGAAGGGAAAAGGTAACTTTACAATGGAGAAACCCGGCAGATAACTTCTTTTTTTGGGGGGGAATATATCCATTTTGTTAAATGCATCTTGTCTGAGCCATGGAAGATACAGAAACAATTTCAAAGAGCATTAAACACTGGTTCTCTCAACTGTGGACTGAAAAAATATAAAGCATATGGAGACGCTGAGTCTGATAGCTGTTCAAACAAGTGGGCCAGAGCCGGTTTCAATGGTGCCAAAAGTACAGGTACTCTACCTCCTGCCAAATGATCCTACCAAAAAAGATGCCAGAAGTACACAGAGAAGATGGTTAACAGACACTTGGAAGGTACAAATTCTCCATGATATGACATTTTCAACATACCAGTGGAACCCACATATGTAGGCTCCATTCTGTCTTGAACAATTCCAAAATATTAAAGAAAAACATCAGGAAGTAGGTTGATTACTTAGAGAAAAATTTGAGTTACTTTTAACCAAAGTTATTTCTACTATGCTTTATCACTCACTCAGTAGCTGCTCTCAAAACAAAGAAATATTTTATATATAATATGTATTTTACTAAAAGTATTTTTTACCCATCTCAAATGGGTTGATTGACCAGTCTCACTAATAGTAAGAGTGCTCAACATTTCCCATTTTGGGCCATTTCTATCACTCTCAAATTTTGGTGAATCTGCCCTAAGTTCCCAGCATCACAGCATTCGTGGATCTGAGTAAACATTCCAGAAAACACAGAGATGTTCCAATACTCTCTGTTCTTAATTTCATCTAATTAGTTTTAAAATTTATTCTCTACTCACAAAGAAGCATAAATAAAGGTTTCACTCTTATGTAAAGACCTGACAAAACATACTGATCCTCTGCTGATGTGAAAGCAAGGACAGTTTTCTATGATAGTCTGTTCTTTATAACCTATAACTGTTGTGGAAAAAAAAGAAAATCAATTTCTTATTGTAATTATTTTTCTTGTTTGAGGTTTCTTTTCCACACCCTGAATCTACAATGACCCAACCACAAGTTTGGGAACATTGCTTCTGAGGCCCATTCTCTGATTAGAAAGTTCAGTCCCACCTGGGGAAAGTACCCGAGTCCCAGCCTTTTCAGCCTAACATTATGCCTAATATCTAGAGTAAGAAATCAGGCTAAGTGTGGTGGTGTGCGCCTGTAATCCCAGCCACTTGGGAGGCTGAGGCAGGAGAATCGCCTGAACCCCGGTGGCAGAGATTGCAGTGAGCAGAGATTGCACCAGTCATTCCAGCCTGGGCAACACAGCGAGACTCCACCTCAAAAAATAAATAAATAAATAAAATAAAACATCCAAGAATCCACCTTGGGTTGCAGGAAAATAGTTAATATTATGCGTTTTAAAAAATGTAACTATATAATGTGAAACACCATAAAGTCAGATGGCACTGCACGAGGCATTTTTGCTTCTTTTTCTTAGGGAAAAGGAGTTCTGTGGAAAATTCTCTCATCCTCCTCTCTCCGCCACCGACTCCTCTATGTCCAAAGGTTTTTTCCTCCCTCCACCCCCCGCGAGAGAGAGTCTCACTCTGTTGCCCAGGCTGGAGTGCAGTGGTGCAATCTCGGTTCACTGCAACCTCTGCCCCCTCTGCATTCAAGCGATTCTCCTCCCTCAGCCTCCCGAGTAGCTGGGATTACAGGCATGCACCACCACACCCGGCTAATTTTGTATTTTTAGTAGAGACAGGGTTTCTCCATGTTGGTCAGGCTGGTCTCAAACTCCCAACCTCAGGTGATCCGCCCACCTCAGCCTCCCAAAGTGCTGGAATTACAGGCGTGAGCCATCGCATCCGACCTAGGTTTTTGTTCAAAATTGGGCCTTTGTTCTTATTCAGTAAATCTATGTCACAGGATGAGCCAGGACTTAAATATATAAATATAATTTTTTAGTATCTTTCACGTCAAATTAGAAACATATTTGGAACTTACTGCTGCAGTCTCTACTGTGCTTATCATGGTAGTGGTTGAAACTGGAAGACTTTTTTTTTTAAACCCTGAAGTCATCCATACTTGCTACTTATTTAGTCTTCTTGCTTGGAATGAAAAGTATTCACCAATACCACCAGCTAAGCACCTGTTTCAAATGCAACTCAGCCTTCAGCTTGCAAAATGATCTCTTTATAATTAAGCAAACAGCGGAAGACCCATGCGAGTTGTTTCTTTCTTCCTGGAGAAGTTGGCAGGATAACTGGAATCCTAGGAGCTCCTCTGTATTGAATTTGCCAAGTCCTGAGTTCAGAATTTTGTTTCTGAGATGAATATAAAAGCACCTAATGGTCAAGGAAACTTTTCTTCCTGTGATAAGGAACCTTTGCTTTAGTGTAGATGACCACTCCCCTCTGTAAGGTAGGGAGGAAGAATGTTCAGTTAGTTCCTTTCCTCTGGCCGATCTCTTTGTTTCTTCTCCTCGCACTGTACAACAGACGCACTCAGCCTCCCGGGGTCCCGGCCCAGAGGCCAGTTTATAGCTGCAGGCCTCACTCCGCCATCTTCGCAGCTTCTCCGCGGATAACTTCTTAACCAAGTGGCCGAACTTAGTACCACCAATGCTGGAAGAAAGTGACGTCATGTGCCTCGCATTGTGATGCACTAAGAATACAACATCTCTTGTGAAGTTGTTTTATCAAAAAATGTTTAACCTAAATCTAGTAAGAAAACAGACAAATCCAACTTAAAGACATTCTGAAAAGCGACAAGCTTGGACTCCAAAAATGTCCATGTCATGAAACACAAAAAGCCAGGGAACTCTTCTAGATTAAATATTAATCAAAGGAGTTAACTAAACTTGAATTTTGATTGAATCCTGATTTCCCCCTCCAACAAGAAGGAAAAAAAAAAGCCGTAAAGCTATAAAATTTAAATATGCTCTGCATATTATAGTGTGGATTACTGCGTTGTGGTTAAGTAGGGGTCCATCCTTGTTTTTAAGAGATAGATGCTAAAATCTTAAGGTGAAATGTCACCGTGTCTGCAAGTAACACTCAGGCAAATTATGTAAGGGCTAAAATTCTGAACCTGGTTGAGGAATTTTGTATCAACATCTAGTCAACACTGTCCAGGGACTAGTCAGAACAAGTAGTTTCCCTTCGCATGGCTGAGAAGCAGGTAGCCTGACCCACTCCTCTCCGGGTGGCACGAGTAACCCTCAGCATTTAAAAGCGGCTGCAGCCCTGTGGGGAACGAAGGCTGAGGCTGTGGTTCCACTTCTGCCAGAGGACACACACATGCACGCATGCTGTATGCACTTTATGGCAGTCCATGGAAGGCACAAAAGTGCAAGGGTGAGGCTGCGCCCCTCCCCTAACCTCCACAGGAACATATGACAGTAGCACAGGCTGTCTAGAGCACTTTACAGTAGTCACGTCCGCCCGAGGGTGAAACCACACCCTTTCACCCCCACAGAACAGCGGCAGGTGCTGTCTGGAGCACTTTAGGGCAGTCAGGCAAACGTGCGAGGATGAGGCCAGGCCCCTTCACCCTGGCAGAACCGCTGCACGTGCTTGTGGAGCACTTTACAGCAGTCATGCAGAGGCGCGAGGGCAAAGCTACGCCCTTTCATCCACACAGAACAGCGGCATGTAGTCTGGAGCACTTTACGGCAGTTACCTGAAGGTGCGACGGCAAAGCCACGGCCTTGCACCCCCGTAGAACAGGAGCACGTGCTGTCCGCGGCACTTTAACGGCATTCAGGCAGAGGCGCGTGGGTGAGGCCACTCCCTTTCGCCCCAACAGAACAGCGGCACGTGCGGTCCGGCGCACTTTACGGCAGTCAACGCGAAGGCGCCAGGGTGAAACCATGCCCTTTCATTCCGACAGAACAGCTGCACGTGCTGTCGGCGCACTTTATGGCAGCCACGCGAAGGCTCGAGGTTGCTAGCGTGCGCCCAGTCAGGGTCAGCTGCGGATACTGGGCTTTGCGCTCTATTTCGTTGTGGTCTGGCTGTCGGTCCGTAGGCACACCTACGGCTATTCCATCATGGCGAGGGTGGCGGTACCGTGGTGAACGATGAGAGATCACTTCCAGAGCAAGGAGTTCCGGGGATACGTGAGCAGCACTCACTTCTGGGGTCCCGTGTTCGACTGGGGCCTTCCGCTGGCTGCCTTTAAAGACATGAAGGCAGGCCGGGCGCAGTGGCTCACGCCTGTAATCCCAGCACTTTGGGAGGCCGAGGCGGGTGGATCACCTGAGGTCAGGAGTTGGAGACCAGCCTGACCAACATGGAGAAACCCCGTCTCTACTAAAAATACAAAATTAGCTGGGCCTGGTGACACATGCCTATAATCCCAGCTACTAGGGAGGCTGAGGCAGAATTGTTTGAACCTGGGAGGCAGAGGTTGCGGTGAGCCGAGATCGTGCCATTGCACTCCAGCCTGGGCAACAAGAGTGAAACTCCGTCTCAAATAAATAAATAAAATAAAATAAAATAAAAATAAAGACATGAAGGCGTCGTTGGAGATCATCAGTGGCCGCATGACGACAGCGTTCATCTTGTACTCGGCGATCTTCATGCGCTTCGCCTACCGCGTACAGCCTCGAAACCTGCTGCTGATGACGTGCCACTGTACCAACGTGATGGTGCAGAGTGTGCAGGCCAGTCGCTACCTACTCTACTACGGCGGCGGCGCCGAGGCTAAAGCCCGCGACACTCCGCCGTCGCGGCCGCCACCAGCCCGGGTTCCCAGCCCCCGAAACAAGCTTCTTAAGAACTGAGAGGGCCTGATCTCATCTCTGCAGGTCACAAGCACTGAACTGTCATTCCTCCTGAAAAAAGGCCAATGAAGACCTCGATTTTGACTCTAAAACAGTGCGAATCTGACTTAAACCTGCAGTTTGATTAATAAAGAAATACAAAGTAACATTGAACTGAAGTTGAGTGTTGCCTCTTTTGTAAACTGGAAATGTTTTTTAGAAGGGGAGGATGGATTAGCTGGTCTTTCTCTTCACAGGACCTGCAACTCAAGATAGTTTAATATGGGGGAGGAAGACTTTGAATGTAAAGCACTTCACAGCTTTTTTGTTTTTTCTTAAAGCTCTCTTGGGAACATATTTTTGTTACTTGTTTTGGATGTCCAGGGCAAACAGGGTTGCTTAGTATCACACATGACTCACAACTTGGTGCAGTCACAAATCTGTACGTCAAAAAAAGTCTGGGGGCTCTTTCTACTGAGGGAAATGTTTCGAAGTGGGTTTTAAATGAATGTCGTGAGGTACAGTGTAGCCTTAAGGAGTCCTCAAGAGAACCTAGGGTCTCTTGGTGACGGAGAGCAATTATAGAATTAGCCATGGAGACAGGATAGACAATTCTGGGGACAATTGCCATCAACCCTGGGATTCTAGGTAAATAGGTAAAAGGACAAAATCATTCTTTCCTCCTTTTCTTATCCTTAAAAACGGGGGAAATGGCAGTTTGCAGAACTGGTTACCTATCAGTCTGTCGAATGCTAGCTAGAGCTGGGGGTGAGGGGTCAGTGGTCAACAGCGGCAGCTCGGAATATTCCCCTAGGAATCTTGGGGGGTTCCTACGGACTCTTAAATCACAGAGCCGAGAAAAGGGAAACGAGAAGGGTGGGGTAGTGGGGCAGTAGGCTAAGGCGATTACCTACATAGGAGAGGCTGCCCTCTACGATTTGACCCAAAAATTTTCCCTGCCCCTGCCTCTGAAGGATGCGGAAAGTTCCAGAGTGTTTACTGGTGAACCCCAAAGTAGGTGTTTAGAAGTATTCGACCCTGCTTTAGAGTTTTCAAATGCAAAGAAATTTAAAAGCACTATCAAAGATTCTGAAGACATCAGTTCTTGGACAAAACGGGCACATTTGTGGAATTCTAGAAGATTCCCCTTTATCTTCTCTGGCATTAAAGCAGTAGTCCTCTTTGTGGGCAGTCTCTGTGTTTCACGAAATTCTGCATGTGGGGACGGGGGTGGGGGGTGGGTGGGAAACGAACTATGGGGAAGTAGTGAATTATCTATGGCCATGTAATCACCCCCAACACTTAGTTTAAAACAGTTACCTGACTTAATTTCTGAAGGTCAGGAATCTGGGAGTGATTTAGTGGGGGACTTCTGGCTCAGGGATTCTCAGCTGTCAGCTGGGGCTGCAGTCTCTGAAGATTTGACTGGAGCTGGAAGATCCACTTTCAAGCTCATTCATAGTTGTTTGCAGGAGGCTTCAGTTCCTTGTCATCTGGGCCTCGCCATACGGCTGCTTGTGACATGGCTTCCCCCAGAGTGGTGTTCCAAGAGACAGCCCAAGATGGAGGTTCTAGCCTTTTACAGCTTCATCTTAGAAGTTACATACCATCACTTCTGCTGTGTTCACACAAAACAACTCTGGTACACTATGGGAGGACAATATGAGGATGGGAAGCAGGCATTGTTAGGGGCCATCCTGGATGCTGGCTACCACACGTGGTGCTAAAATAATTCTCATGCCTTTCTGGTAGTCAGTAGGAAAGTAAAGCATGTAAATTTGTTGCCTACCTTCCCAAAGAGAGGTCACAAAATGCTCAGTTTACGGTTTTGTGGTCATTGCTAACATGCACCTATAGAGCATGGGTTTGAGAAGCAGAAATCTCTGGAAGATAACAGTGGGTCTTAATGTTTTAGATAATTCAGACTACAATGCAGTATTAAAAACCAGTTCTTAAAGTTATGAAATGAGTAACTTTATATCCACTTCACTAACAATTTCATAAGTAGAAATTAATATATTTTTAGGTTGTCTTACAATATGCATTTTGTAATTTGAGTCTATTTCAATGAAAGGCCACTGTCTGTTGAAGACATTTCAGAGCAGGTAGGTTTCTAATTAACCTCGTGAGGGAAAAGGAGGTAATCTCTGCTGCTAATTTCCTATTACTCTATACTTACAATTTAGAGGTCAAAACAATTCAAGGAAATGTCCAAAAGATTGCAACACTTCCACAATAATGCAATGTTCCACTTAAGGCATCTAATTCACAATATGCCCACCCAACTAAGTGAGCTAACCCTTTGTTGCCTAGGATATTAGTGTTTAAAGCCAAATAGGTAATTCATACTTTAATAAAAATGAACCTTTTAAATCATTAGGGTAACAATCATTTCATAATCTTCCCAAACTCTCAAACGTAATCCTTTCTAACCTTGGCAATTTAAACTGTCTACAGATCTCCACAACTTTATAAAGCCAGTAACATTTTTTGAATTGGCAGAGCTAGTTTTCCAGTTTTTGTCACCAACGCACTTTAGTCATTTCCCAGAATCAGGTGTTTTACTCTGAGTTGAATATGTAATGTCTTCCTCCTTAGGTACTCTGAGCTCCCTGGTGAAGAACAGGATAAATCCAAAGAACTGCTTTATCTTTGCAACTATAATGCTAATACCATTTTTTCCCTCTAATTCTTTCAAAACTATGAACCACATATTGTGTCCCAGGGAGAGGCTGACAACAAATCATATTGCTGGACGAAGAAGACAAGGCGCTTCACAATGAAACAGACAGCCCTATGCAGAAAGTGATCCATGTGCTGGGCTTCTTCCCACTGCCCTGACAATTTGCAGGTGACCCTGGAGGTGGAGCTACAAAATGGAGGAATGGAGGTTACAACATAGCCCAGGAAATGCGACACAGCCAGCTTGCAGTTTGAATTTATATTTTATTATTCTGAAATATAAAATTTTAAAAACATTCAAAATACACCAGTACATGTTTGTTATAAAAATTTCACCCAGGAGGATATAAAACAGAAAAGCCAAATATTCCTTCTAACTCTCCCCTCTACCTCAATTTCCTACAGAGGTAACACAGCAAAAAAAAAACTGGGGAAAAGCAAACAACTTTCCAGACCTCTACTATTCTAAAACACAAACAACATTATAGCTTGCTATGCATTGTTTTCTTGTGTTTGTTTTTTTGGTTGTTTTTTAGAGACGGAGTCTCCCTCTGTCACCCAGGCTGGAGTGCAGTGGTGTGATCTCGGCTCACTGCAACCTCCACCTCCCCAGTTCAAGCGATTCTCCTGCCTCAGCCTGCGGAATAGCTGGGATTACAGGCACGTGCCACCATGCCCGGCTTTTTTGTGTTTTTAGCAGAGACAGGGTTTCACCATGTTGGCCAGGTTGGTCTCACACTCTTGACCTCAGGTGATCCGCCCCACTCAGCCTCCCAAAGTGCTAGGATTACAGGCATGAGGCACCGCGCGCGACTGCTATGCATTGTTAAGCCTTTTGTTTTTCTAGTTAGTATGTCTGAGACCACTGCATGACCACAGTGCGGCGTCGCTTCATTCTTTCCAACAGTTGCATAAGATCCTGTAGTATAATGTGCTACACTTTAACAGTGCTGCTGTACACATCCTGTTGTGCACACCCTTGTGCCCAGATGCACAGTTCCGTTAAATAGAAAGATATCAACAGGTTGATGTCTCTATATATATGATGCTACATTGCCTTAAAGTCCTCTCTGGGGCTTTAAAAAGTTTTCGGAACCGTATCTTTATCAGAGCGGACAAATCCAGTAAGATGACAGCTCGTATACCATCATCTATACCTTACACATCCTTGTATTTATATCTACTTCAGGGGCTGGCACATGGTGGACCCTTGATAAAAGCTTGTGGGCAAACTAACTAGACACAGGTATAAAATGGAAGCGTTCATAACCCAAAGTTCCTAAAATCAGAAGTCAGATCTTAAATTGGTTAATGAATCAAGATTCCATTTGATCCCAAGTTTTGTACTGCACATCTAGAAGCTCGGAAATATTTCGCTAAGTTTCTTCATTTGGAAGAGTTGTGAGATGAATGAAATTTCTTTCTTTACTGTTGAAGTTTTCTCAAGGAATTCCATGAAATGAAGGGAGAAAGAAAATGTAAGACTAAAGATTAAATACTACCTGGACAGATTAAAGGAGGAAGTTACAGGCACATCTGCACTCATCTGGGCTTTCCAGAGTGATATTAAGTGCATTTTAACATAAAAATGTACACCAAATAAACCCCTGCCCTCCACCCATTCTACAGATGACATCCTTGGTAGGCGGCTGGATAGGCACACATCTTCACTGGGCTTGGAATGGAGCCTTTCCTGCAGGCAGCGAGGAACCTGGCAATTCTGTTCCTGAAGGTCCACAGGCAACTTGACCCAGTTAAGTACCGCTGGCCTTGGAAACAAGTAGATGCGGGGAAAGGTGAAAGTGAGGCCGACTCTGCAGACCACTGCCTACGATGGGGCAGTCATTGCGCAGTTTGGGAAACCAGCAGGAGGAAGTCAGGAGTGGATGACTTTAGGGGTAAAAGGTATAGAAAAAGCATGAACGAATGTGTGAATTTGTTGAAAGAAAATGTTTGTCTTTGAATTTCCACAAGAATGATGCAATTTCATTTTTAAATTTTGTAATGAAGGACCAGGCTTAGTTAATAGCATAACTAACATTTAGGCCTGGGAATACTCCCAAGCTAAGAGTGGCCCTTCAGTCAAATGTTCACTGAGCATGTGAGGCCAGGCCCCAGGAGCTTACTTTTCAAATGTGTACCATAAACCAGCTGCCAAGCGAGAAGCTCCCCTGCTCCTGCCTGACATCCCTGCTTGTGATGCTGGCCTGGGTCCTGTCAGTCTACTGGTCACTCGAGTCACCATTCTCCAGCTCCCCACAGACCAGCCTGGGCCCACCTCCTTGCCCTACTGCCTTAGGCTACTCCAACCTAGTAGTAACAGTTTTTTGGGTTTTTTTTTGAGACAGGGTCTTGTTCTGTTACCCAGGCTGGAGTGCAGTGGCATGATCATAGCTCACCACAGCCTTGACCACCTGGGCTCAAGGGATCCTCCCACCTCAGCCACCTGAGTAGCTGAGACTAAAGGTGTGTGCCACCATGCCCAGGTAATTTTTAACTTTTTTGTAGAGATGGGGTCTCGCCAACTTGCCCAGGTTGATACTACACTCCTGGGCTCAAGTGATCCGCCCACCAATGCTGGGATTACAGGCGTGAGCCACTGTACCCAGAGGCAGTAACATTTCTGTACTAATTGGAAACGACTAGAAAAATCGCCTTTCAGGCAATGTTTCTTCTTGCTTTCCTCTAAAAAGGAAATATTTCTTTCCTATCCCAGCATTTATATCCCAGCCCAGCCTTGGGCATCCTGGGTGAATAGGAATAGGACTTGCCTGCCAGTGGGTGGAGCACTCCAGGTAAGCCTCTGGCACAGGCCTGGCCAAACACAGCCTTTACTAAGTTAAGCAGTTACAGTTTAGGACCAGAAAAGAAATTCACCTTTTAAATAGCAAAAAAATCCCTGGATGGTAGTAAGTTTTGTTGCTGTTTTTTGTTTTTTTGGGAGACAGAATCTCGCTCTATTGCCCAGGCTGGAGTACAGTGGCATGGTCTCAGCTCAGTGCAACCTCTGCCTCCCAGGTTCAAGCGATTCTCCTGCCTCAGCCTCCCGAGTAGCTGGGATTATAGGCACATGTCACCATGCCCGGCTAATTTTTGTATTTTTTTTTCAGTAGAGATGGGGTTTCACTATGTTGGCCAGGCTGGTCTCGAACTCCTTGCCTCAGGTGATCCACCCGCCTGGACCTCCCAAAGTGCTGGGGATTACAGGTGTGAGCCATCACGCCTGGCCTGGTATCAAGTTTTGGCAAAGAGTATCTAATATTTTTTATTGCAATAGATTATACAACCCCAAGTTTACAAATATTAAAATAGTTCCAAAGAGAGGAAAGTCCAGGACAAAACAATAAAAATTCCTTTTTGTTTGGGTACAATAGTCTGGTAACTTTTTCCTTTTGCACAGAAAAGGATGTCTGAGACGGAAGCCATGCTGACTTTCACAGAACATGCCTGATTTTTGTTGACAGGCAACCTAAAATGAAAGAGAATGTTTTGATTTTTTTTTTATTTGAGGGGAAAAAAGTAAAATGCTGAAGATAGTTACTCATTTTAAGAAGTTCTCCTTATGGAAACTAATCAATTGCTATTAATGCCATGGTAAGAGCCAGGCATCAATGGTGTCATTTTAAGGCAGAAATGCTTTTTGATTATGTTATAAAGCTGATTCATTTAATTCTAGACCAATGACTTCAGGTATATTTAGCTAAACAGGGAGTTGATGTTGAATTACTTCACAGACTTAAGAACCGTTAAGTAGAGAAAGAACACAAACCTCAGTGTCCTCTCTTTGAAACAATAAGGACAAACTTCAGATTAGACTGTTGTGTGTTCATGATGGCCTCACATGAGAGAACAGACATGAAAGAGATGGGGCGATTCTGTCCTTCTTTAACACCATCATCTGCCTGAACTCACCTCAGGCCTTCCTGTCAGGTGTCTGTCTCCCAGGTTCCTGTGAATCCAGTTTCTGATGTAGACGGAGGCTGTCTAGCTTCTGCATATCTTCTGTAAGGCCATTTCTAAGATCCTCATTGTTTCTCAGAAATTCCTTCACCACTTCTAGTCGATTTGAGAGCTGCAAGAGGAAACCATGCAATGTACAGCTTAGATGATTTTATAGCAGATTTGTAATTCAAATGAAAAACCCACTAGCTCCCAGACTGGCTCCTACTCATATGCCCAAGAGACAGAAATCTTGGCTACAGGTATCTGTCCACAGACAAGTTAAAGTTTGAAAAACAAAAACAAAACAAACCCTTTAAAACAAAGCATCCTCCACTCAAAAAATAGTGGCCCAGGATAAGTGGTTCTGGGGGTACACAAGGGAGTATTTGCTTGTCTACTTCCATTTTTTTGCTTTAAAACTTTCTGTCTTTACATGAAAGGGCATCATTTTATACATATACACACGTGTATGTGTATAAATAAATAAAATGCCCTTTTCTTTTGAATTCTGTACCTGAATTATTATACATATGGATATATACATATATACGTGTGTGTGTATGTATGTGTGTGTGTGTGTGTGTGTGTGTGTGTATTTTTTGTTTTTTTGAGACAGTATCTCACTCTGTCGCCCAGGCTGGAGTGCAATGGTGCGATCTTGGCTCACTGCAACCTCCGCCTCCTGGGATCAAGTGATTCTCTTGCCTCAGCCTCCTAACTGGGATTACAGGAGCCTGCTACCACACCCGGCTAATTTTTGTTTTTAGTAGAGACGGGGTTTCGCCATGTTGGCCAGGCTGGTCTCAAACTCCTGACCTCAGGTGATTTGCCCACTTCGGCCTCCCAAAGTGCTGGGATTACAGGCATGAGCCACGATGCCCAGCGATGAATGCTTTTAAATGGGGAACCCTCAACTGCAAGTCAAGTCAGGGTTATATAAATCTAATGAAGAAAAGTAACGGAGCACTCTGCCCTAAGAGAGCAGTAGTTCTTAAACTGCAGAGTGTACGTCACTGATTCCCATGCAGTAGGTCTGGTGTGGAACCCCAGCAAATACTCATGTTATTGTGAAGTAAGCAAATGAAAGAGCCGGATGCCAGATGATGGACGCTGGGGATGGGAGGGAGGTGAATGACTGGCTAAGGCTGTGGCCAGGACGCACAGGGAGTGGGGAGGGACAGGGAGGAGCTGCAGATGATCAGAGGGTTTCAGATTGGTCAGTAAGTAGACCGGGAATGTGCCCTTCAGGAGTTGGTTAATACACAGCTGGAAACTAGCCTAGAGCTCCTGCAAGATGCTTGCGCTTTAAATAATAAATCTGAAAGCCACAGACATGTGAAATGAAGATCACACGGATGACATGGTTCACAGCATGCGTTAGGAACTGTGGGCACTGCATCGTTAGCTCTCAGTGACCGTGCCCGGTGCCCTAGACACACCCCAGGGTCCTCCTGAGGCTCTGATCAGATGTCCGTGATGGCACCAGCAGGGCCTGGGCACCACACGCATACTCCCAGATAGACTTTTGCCCTCAGTGGGGTGCCCCTCCACTTGTGCGGAGACTTTCTCACATGATAACCTGGGAACGGTGGTCCTTCTGCTGCCACCTCCTGACCCCCCCTGCAGACTCTCAGGACTGATGTGCTCTGTTCTACTTAGTTTCTTTTCTTTTGTTCAAGGTTTCAGTTCTCTTTTCCATCCCAAATTGCCTTTCTTTTCCATTATCTTCAACATGAGTGTCCCATAGCTGACATTTCTTGGACTTGTTTTCTCCTTTGTGAAATGCAACAAATGCATTTACTCTTGAAATGTGCTTAAGAGGTGTTCTGGATGGGGTGATTATTTTAGCTTGGGGTTGGCAGGATGAATCAAAAGGAGGCTTAAAAAAAAGTATTAAGAACAGAGAAGGCTTTGTATGTTTATATGTAAAGGGGGAGAGAAAGTAGAGATGGAAAAACTGAAAGTACTAGAAAAATTTGGAATGTAGAATATTCAGACTTGGACACTGAAGCCCAGCTTTGTCACTTAATTAGCTGTGTGACTTTGGCCAAGACATTTGACCTCTCTGAGCTTACTTCTAGGTACACAAATTAAGGATGATGATACCAACACCACCTAGGATTCTGGTGAGGATCAGAAATAAACTACTAAAAGCACTTAGCAGCTTTGGTCCATTCCCTCCTCCCTAACTACATTCATTTAATAAATGTCCAATTTACTCACAGTCTACTACGTGCTGGTCTACTGTTGGAGGCAAAAGACGCTCGGCAACTTCACTCTTCCAGTCACCTAAGCCAAAACTCTTGGCCTTGCTTTGATCTCTTTCTTTCTCTCACATGCCACACTGGCACACCTTCACATCACCTCTACACTTCTACCCTCAGCCTGGCTACCACCATCCTTTACCTGGTCCACTGCAGTAGCCTCCTACCAGTCGCCCTGCTTCTATCTTGGCCCCTCCCCTCCAGTACCCCAGGGTACCCTCACCACTGCAGCCAGGGGCTCCTTTTGTCATCCCAATGGCTCACAAGGCCCAGTAGGACCTGCTTCTTCTCCCTTCACTTCTCTGACCTCTTCACCCACTATTCTTTCAAATCCTCTTCCCCCAGATACACGCATGGTTAATCCTCACCTCCTTCAAGGTACTGCTAAGTCTCACCTTCTCAAAGAGGCCACCCTAATTACTCTACTGCAACCTGACATTCGTCCCCACTCTGCCAATCCTGAGCACCCTCCCTCTGCTCTACACTGGATTTCTCCTTCTACTGCCCCACATCATGACCTTATTATGTTTACTGTTTAGTATCTGTCTCCCACTCTGGAGGTCTTTGTCTGTTTCACTCACTGATGCATACCAAGCTTCTAGAACTGTGCCTGGCACACAGTAGGTGCTCAATAAAAATTTCTTGAATATAACGAATGAAGTGCCATTTTCTATCCTTTCCCCAGTGACCTTGAGTACACGCTGTCATCGTCCCTTATCCCTAAGCTTCCCTGCAGGTCTCTGTGAAGGTGGCTCCCTCACCAGGGTTTAAGAAATCAGTCTTGATTTTAAAGTCTGTGAAAATTATTTTCATGTTTTTTAGCCACTAACTGTGCTCAATGTACTTTAGTTGGATTTTTTTTTTTAACTCCCAGATCCTAACAGAGCAATGAGGGCTGGCAGGACTATGTGAAGGGCACTTAGGTGGCAGCCGAATCCTGGGGCAGATGAGCCCATGGCCGACACAAACTCCATGTTACAAGGGGCTGAGCAGCTGCTACTGCCATTTGGCTCCGCAGCAGAGTAAAATCTCACAATCACAGCAATACATGCACAGTGTATTTTAACGTGAGCCCACTTTTTCTACTGTTCTATACCTTTAAGGTTCACCAAACTAATAGAAAACTGTGGAGATGGTAAGCTCTCTGTGGCACTCCATGATGTGTTTGCAGGAGGTGTCACACTGAATTACTATCATCAATCATTTTTCTCAACTTAGCTTTCTAACCCTACCCCTACTTCTTTTGGTTTGTTTGTTAGTTTGTTTCAAGAGATGGGGTCTCCCTATGTTGCCCAGGCTGGTCCCAAACTCCTGGGCTCAAGTGATCCTTTCACCTTGGCCTCCAAAAGTGCCGGGATTATAGGTCAGAGCCATCGCACCTTGCCTTTACCCCTACTGTTTTAACAAAAACAAGAAATAGTTCTTGATAACATTTATAACAAAAGCCCTGGATTCATAATACAATCACTGTATTTCCTGATCCCAGGATGCACATTTTTTCCTATTCTAACATCTCAAATGAGAATGCATCTTACCATTGATAGTGTCTTATAATAAACTGGCAGCATTGTTTTTTCTTTCTTAGAAGTAACTGAAATAATGGTATATTTTACAATTGACAGCATTTTAGATTCATTGAAATCTGGTCTTAACAAATCCTCTGACTTTGGCAACTAACCCAAAAGAACATGGATAATCATATAGGGTACTGAACTTTCAGAAGACGTCAAATTTCATATACACAGAAACCTGACTTCCAACTTTTTTGAGATAACATGCCAATCAATCCTCACATTTTGATCAATTGAAATATTATGAGAAATGCCATGGTCTGCTGAAGAGAAAGCATGAAAAATGAGAATTTATTAACTCCACCTAGAGACTCCACCCAGAGAACAAGCCAATTAATCCCTATTTCCTTTCTGTAAAACAGAGATAATGGGGGTTCAAAACTTACAGCTGCTAGCTCCTCAGTATATAAGATCTGCAGCACAGCAGGCAGGAAGCCACAGGATCAGAAGGGGGAGACCTGCGGGCCAGCCCTCAGCCCCAGTGCAAGCTCTTTGGGGCCCTTGCCTCACATGCAAAGCAGGGGATATAAGATGACTGCCAGGTTCCCTTCCAGCTCTCAACTGACACAAACTCCTGGCTCTAGCTTCTGAAAACAGCAGCAGAAAGAAAACTGGGGCTCTAATGGCATTATAAAATAAAGACAGGAACCGAAACACACGGGTTTAGAAAAGAGAAGATTAAACATTCTAATACATCATTTTAAATACCTATGGTGTACCATGGTAGGCACACCCAAAAAACCAGGGGTACCAAGTCCTTGTGCTAAAGGGGCTCACCATGCTGAATGAAGCACCTGGATCAAAGCTGGAATGGTTAATACAGGCATAGTTACCTGCAAGGAGCATGGTTCCATGAATTTGCATTTAATAAACCCTCCCTATGTTTAATGAGGTAACCAGCAAAACTGCTTTCCTTGGACAAGGAGGAATGGAGAGGTGAAATGATTTTTCCAAGATCTCCTGGTGATCTAGAAGTCTAATCCAGCCAGTGCTGGAATATTTCTGAACCTTGCTGGAATATAATTCAACTACTGTTAATTTATTTTATACCTTGCATGTGACAAAGGAGATTTGTTCCTCCTGTACCTGGGAGTTTAGACCATCATTAGCCTGCAGGTCCTAAACTAGAAACACTGATGATTCTTTAAACACTCCCCTCCCTACCTTCTCCACCCTTTTCCAGCCCCATGCCATGCTCCAAGTAATCTCCCTGGCCACCAAGATCCATCAGTTCTGCCCAGGCACTGCCTCCAGAATCCAGTTCCTCCACAGCCCCTAGTTTCTGTTCTCTCTCACCTTCACATGACTGCAAGAGCCTTCTGGGTAGTTGCTAGCCACTCATCCAACCTCCAGCTACCACAAGAGTTAACTTTCTAAAAGCTGTATCTGATCCTATTACCCTTTCTTGACTGCTTTTTGGGAATGAAGCCAAAACCCCGTGGCATGGCCTAGAAAACCTTTCGGCATGTGGCTCCAGCCCACTTTACCATCCTCAAACCTGGCCATGGCTCCTGTGCTCACTTGTCCTTGCCCAGGCTTAGACTATCCTTCCCTGCTTTTGCAAGTACTGTGCTCTCTGTCAAGAATCATCTTTTTCTCTTGCCAATTTGTCAGACTCTTATTTGATTCTGTGAGTCACAGCTCAACAGCATCTTCTTAGCAAAACCTTTTTTTTGGCAATCCCCCTGACCAGCAGAGAACGTCTGGAGCATTTTTTTCAGAATTCTATTGTAGCCCTTACCAGATTTTTCCACTTTGTGGCACAGATTAGGCACTCAAATGTTTGCTGATGTGAAAGTGAAAATATTTGTTAAGAGGTAATATTAATTTGTGCCAAAAGCATATTCACACTTCTGGAAATTATTTGACTTATAAATCAAAACCACCATTAATTATTTGTTAAGATGAGCTACTCTTCCTCCCCAGAATCTTTCTTTGTGTTGTTTACTCATACGGAGCCTATAACACTTTTCTTTTACCTCTTCAGGCAACACCTCTTGTTCTTCTGCTTGAAGATATATCTCTTGAAGTTTCTCCTTTAGTAACTGCATTTCTATTTCATTGACTTGGCTCTCACTCAGGTAAGTTCCCGTTTCACATTCACACCCATCTCGCTGATCTTCCTCAGGGATGTGAACAGCCCAGTCAGATGTCAACAGCTGAGGGATTGCCACACAAATATATGAACTGATTTCATGAAAAACGCATTCCACTGAATTACTCAAATAATTTGTAATTAAACATAATGAACTGGATCCATATTAATAGTGCACCGTGACCACAGAAAAGTTTCTCAGCCCAGTATAATTGCAGATTTCATATCAGCATTCTTTCCCCTGCTTACATTCTAACATTTAGGTTAAATCTAATAAACTTCAAATTCTAAATGTGTGGCTGTTGTTGTTTTCTGTCCCTTCATTCTGTATGCCAGAACTATTAAACATGATTTTTACCTGTTCTATTCTGGAGTATACTGCTACAATCTCTGGGATGTTCCTGAATTCATTCAGAAAATTTTGGATCTTCATCTGAAAATCTCGAAGCCACGTAGAAGATACTTTCATCTCTGAAGAGTGCATGATCTCATTACGACATTTAATTACCTGCAGAAAGACAAAAAGATAAAAGGCTTCAAAATCAAACAATGGGGTAAACTGAGATCTTTGACCCCAAAGAAAAATCATAGAAAGGCTTTGTTAATTACAAATTAACAAAAGCAGTCGTCAGAAGAGAAGGCCTGGAACTTTCTTGGGATCATGGGCATAAGCTGGCATGTACCTGTATCACAGTGGAGGACACTTCAGCCCTCCAGCCCCATAAGTCAGATCCATATTTAGTTCCATCCTGTCTAGAGGGCAGACACCAAGAAGTGAAGTTCTCCTTCTGTCTTCAAGGGTCAGGCAGGTAGCCTGAGGGAAGCTGGCCATGTGTAATGGTAAGGAGTCATCTCCCTACTAAAAGACTGGTTCAGAGCTAACTGGACAGCAGAGGCCCTATCTGAAGGGGCAGCCTCTACTTAACATGTGGCTTGTTGCCATGGGAGTTGTATGAGCCTATGTTCCCAGATCTTCTGATTTTTCATGAGAAACTGGAAATTTAGATTTTTATGACAACTAATTTGAAATTTTAAAAAATCATGCAGGACACATAAGACATGACAATAAGTCAGATTATGGCCACAGGATTCTAGGAATAAAAAGATGGCTCCTGGGTAACAGTTCAGCCTTTTCTCCCTCCTTGAGTCTCTGGAGCTGATTTCCAAGCAATCCCGAAATTCCTAACATAACCTGTAGGTACCTGTTGGTGCCGCTGAGGCTTGAGGGATTGTTCAATCCCCAGTCACACAAATAATACATTAGTCAATGTAAGAAATACAAATAAGCCTACAACTATCCTTAGCCCTTGAAGTCTTGTGGCCAGCTGGATATTCCACATTCCCCCAAAATCCCTTAACTTAAAACAACCTGCCAAAGAACAAGCTCATTGGCTCTGGGTATACCCACAGGATGAAGCAGCCAACACAAAAGTCTTTTAAATACTGTTGGAGCACCAGGAAGCTGGGTCTAGGGAGTTTCCTGATGTGGAAACCATGATGAAAAGAAAATAAACTTTGGCCACTATCTTTAGAAAAATGGTCTTGTCTAATCATGTATTAATATATAATTCATATAGTCTTCCACAGTTTGGTTAAAAGATATCAAAGGGTTCAACTACTATGATAGTTCTTTGTTTCTGCTGATATCATAAAGGAGTCTCAATCCTGGTAGTTGCTGGTATGCAGACAAAAGATACATGCATTTTCTCTACCTATTATAAATAATCCAGGTATAGCGATATACTCTTTTCAATGACCTTCAGGGTAATAAATGTATGAATTGTTCTCTGGTGAACTAGAGAAAAATTTAAATTTCCCAGAGGAAATCTAACAAGCACAGTGATCTATTCTGACACTGTTACCATCAGTATTCAAGTTTTCTTCAGTTCCATATCATTTGGTCTTGCAGCTGCTTAGCCAATGAGATTCAGAAGGGTAGGATTCCAACGCTGGCATACAACAGGCAGAATGATGCAATGTTCTGTATTTTTTTAAATAAGGAAAATTATTTTGGTTCTGTTTATGGCAGAACAGGGAAGAGACTTTTAGGTTCATCTACTTCAGCGGCAAACGGCACAATGAGTTGTTAGGAAACTAATTCAGGAGAACTACTCTTGACTGCATTTGCACTGGGGTTCTTGGACATCACAGAAGACATGATATGAGTCACACTAGCTTGCTTAGTGATGCCAACTTTGAACCCAAGTCTAACTTTCTTTGTACACCACTGTTCTGGGGAACTACTACGTGCTATACCTGCATGGCTGGCTTAGCATCACAGGTGTATCTCATGACTGGCTCTCACAGCATAGACCCAACAGACTCAGGGTATGCTTTTGAATCTGAAAGCTCTTACCTCTGTGACTTTCTTTCGATCAACCACGAAGTGATCGCAGGAGTTGATGAGACTTAAAAGAGCAACCGCATCACATTCCTCAGGTCCTCGTTTGTCTGCTAGTCCTCGGGGCATGAAGGCCTATAGCAAGGGAGGGAGGAGGGGGACCTGAGCCTCTTCCAACTCTAGGAGATGGAAAGGCGATGGTTACTTGTCTGTTTTCCAAATGATGACTGAAATTGTCTTACGCACTGAGGTTTCAACTTAGAGCCTCATGGGCCCAAAATGCAAGTAGGGAAACAGTGTCACAGCTAAACCTTGGTCAAGAGCAATAACTGAAGGGTTGTACTATCCCTGCTATTAGATACATATGATATAACTGGCTTTCCATCCTGTCTTAATGGCATATAAACAGAAAGCATGAGTAGAAGGCATCTTTTTTCTTTTCCTTACTGAAATTTCAGTGGTTGAGTTGTTAAATAAAAAGATTTAAAAATAAAATAAAAGTGGACAGATTCTAAACGACTTGAGGAAGTTCGGTATGGAAGTAATACATTAAGAGTCTGGGCTTTGGAGTGAAAACTGGGTTCAAACGCCAGCTCTGTCATTTGCCAACTGTGACCTTGGTCAAGTCACCCTCAGATTCCTTATCAGTAAATGGGGGATAACTGTCCTTATCTACTTCAAAGGATATTGTGAGAATGAAATAAGAGAATGCAGGTATAGCACTAGCACAGTCCTCGGTACATGCCAGTAACCAGGACATCAATGCAGGCAATTATTATGTAGATGGTGCAAGGCGAGTAGGACCCACATAGGAGTTACAGATAGAATCCGGGGATGGGAGATACTAGATATACCAGAAGGGCCTCAAGCTAGCAGGATCTTGCCTTTAGTAGGATTTTATGGCACAGACTCCCAAAATGGTGTTACAGGAAAGCTTGGGCGTATTTCTTTCCTGAAATATTTCTCAACTTATATCGGGATGCAACAACTTTACTAGGCTAAGAATCACAAGGGTACTCTCCTGCCAAGGAAGTAACAAAAAGTTACTCACAATAAACTCTAAATAGGCTGGGTACAGTGGCTCATTCCTGTAATCCCAGCACTTTGGAGGCAAAAGCAGGAGGATCGCTTGAGCCCAGGAGTTTGAGGCCAGCCTGGGCAACAAAGCAAGACTCCCATCTCTATTAAAAAAAAAAAAAAAAATTAGCCATGCATGGTGGTGTGTGCTATAGTCCCAGGTACTCAAGAGGCTGAGGCAAGAGGATTGCTTGAGCCCAGGAGTTCAAGGTTGCAATAAGCTCTGATTACACCACTGCACTCCAGCCTGGACAAGAGAGCAAGACCCTGTTTCAAAACAGAAACAAAAACAAAAAACAACAAAAAAGACCTATTTTATTTAAGAGACCTGTTCCATTGAAAACACATCTCAATAGGCAAGCAACTACAATGCCTCCTACAGGGCTGCTCATGAAAGCATTCTGAAAAGGCTGGGGTAAGTGCTCATGTATGCCAAGGAGAGTCAGCGCTACATTCCTGATGGTGGTGAAATCATACACCTGAGTCCCACATAATTCAGAATTTTGTAAACCCTGGCTGGCCCCTATCAACAGGTACAGTAGCCAGTACCATCACTATCTTTCTGTGCCTTAATAGCCACGGACATGCTGACCCTCTGAAAGAAATCTATTATGGGCCGGGCACACATCTGTAATCCCAGCACTTTGGGAGGCCAAGGCGGGTGGATCACCTGAGGTCAGGAGTTCAAGACCAGCCTGGCCAACACGGTGAAACCCCATCTCTACTAAAAATACAAAAACCAGCTGGGTGTGGCGGCACGTGCCTGTAATCCCAGCTACTTGGGAAGCTAAGGCAGGAGAATCGCTTGAACTCAGGAGGCAGAGGTTGCAGTGAGCCAAGATTGCTCCACTACTCTCCAGCCTGGGCAACAGAGTGAGACTCTGTCTCAAAAAAAAAAAAAAAAAGAAGTCTATTATGAATGCTACAAAGGTTAACGAAGAAGCTAACTAACTTACCACAGGCAAACTAATGCCATGAAACTGAGGAAAAGAAGCTCTGAAAAATACAAAAAAAAAAAAATTAGTCAGGCATAGTGGCATACACCTGTAGTACCAGCTACTTCGGAGGCTGAAATGGGAAGATCACTTGAGCCCAGGAGGTGGAGTTTGCAGTGAATTGAGACTGTGCAACTGCACTCAAGCCTGGGCGACAGCACAAGACCCTGTCTCAAAAAGGAAAAAAAAGAAACTGCTGAATTTAGCTGTTGCTGGGAAGAAAATGCAAAGTTAGTGGGGTCTTAGTCACCTCCAAATCAGGTGTAGTAGTTTTTCTTTTCCATTATAAGGTAGGTCCTGTCTGGCATTTTTCTCACCAATATAAGCCAATCTCTTCCACGTTAAAGTTTTTGTTTTGTTTTTTAGAGACAGGGTCTTGCTCTGTTGCCCAGACTGGAGTACACTGGCACAATCACAGCCCACTGCAGCCTCAAACTCCTAAGCTCAAGCGATCCTCCCAACTCAACCTCCCAAGTACCTGGGAGGATTACAGGCATGCACCACCATGCTTGGCTAATTTTTTGTATTTTTTGTAGACATGGGGTTTCGCCATGTTGCCCAGGCTGGTCTTAAACTCCTGGAGTCAAGTGATCCACCTGCTTCGGCCTCCCAAAGTGCTGGGATTACAAGCGTGAGCCACTGTGCTGGCCTTGTTAAAATTTTATTTTAGTAATTATTCCCTTTCTTCAGAACTGGAAGCCAACAGGGAGGCTCTGCGGCATCCTTGCAGTGAAAGCAGTGTCTTAAAATTGTACTGCATACCACCGTGTTCCACACGCCAAACGCACAGCAGTGAGAAACATGTTATTGCCTCTATCCTCCACTGTCTCTTTGCTGAGTAGGAGATGGGGCTGGAAAATAAACAGAGGCCCAATCGTGCCAGGCCTTATCGGCTCTGGAAAGGTGTAGGGTTTATTCTAAGGCCATCAGGAAGCCATCCAAGGGTTTTAGGATGATCTGATTCCCATTTGAAGACTGTACATGCTGCTGTGTGAAGGACCGACCACAGATGCTCAGAGCAGCAGAGGCCTGGTAGGAGGCCTGGTAGAGGCCTGGTAGGAGGGTGAGAGTTGTGACGTGGAGATGGAAAAGAGGATTCCAAAAGTATTTTGCAGGTACAAACAAGGAGAGAGGGGGTACTGAGAGGGAAAGAGATGAAACGAGTGATTCTAGAAAGTTGGTAATGGGGAATGGGCATAGGGTAGGGGGCAAAGACAAACTGTTCTACTTTCAAACTAAATAAAATGTGCTCCATAGGCGATGGAGTGGAGGGGGCAAGTAAGCAGTTGGATGTGTGCGTCTAGAACTCAGAAGAGAGGGCAGGGCTAGAGCCACCAATTTGGGAGCCAGTTAGCATTTAACACCACAGGCCTGGGCAATGTCACCAGAGAAGAAGGGAACAGAAGAGGCCCGGCCCCGAGTCCCGGGGAAGGCCAAAAGACATTCAGAAGGAGGCTGAGCAGGAAGAGCCAGGGAGATGGAAGGAAAGCCAAGAGGGTTTCAAGAGCAGCCAGTAGTGCCAAATGGCTCTGGGAGGTAAGAGAGATGAGGTCATAGATGCAGTGGAGTGACGGGGGCAGAAGCCGAGGCAGAGTGGGTTGAAGAGGAAGTGAGGGCAGAGAAGAAGAGAACAGGCATGAAACCTCTTTTTTGAGATGCTTTGCTGGATATGTGTATAGGAGGCAGATAGAGAAATGGGGAGACAGCAGGAGAGAATGGATCAAGGGACATTTTTCTTTTTGTCTTTTTTTTCTGAGACAGGGTCTTACTCTGTCACCCAGGCTGGAGTACAGTGGTGCCACCACAGTTCACTGCAACCTTGACCTCCTGGGCTCAAGCAATCCACCCATCCCAGCCCCCCAAGTAGCTGGGATTACAAGCACACACCACCACAGCTGGCTAATTTTTTTTGTATTTTTTGGTAGCACACACCACCACAGCTGGCTAATTTCTTTAGGTTTTTTTTTGTATATTTAGGGGTTTCACCATGCTGGCCAGGCTGGTCTTGAACTCCTGAACTCAAGTGATCCACTCGCCTCGGCCTCCCAAAGTGCTGGGATTACAGGTGTGAACCACCGCGCCCAGCCACGCCCGGCTAATTTTTGTATTTTTTTGTGGAGACAGTTACAGGGTTTCGCCATGTTGCCCAGGCTGGTCTCGAACTCCTGAGCTCAAGCAATCTTCTCACCTCTGCCTCCCAAAGTGCTGTGATAACAGGAATGAGCCACCACATCTGGCCTCTTGAAATCTTATTTTCCAAGTATTTATTCAAGTGTTTTTTAAAAAAACAGCTTTCTTGAGATATAATTCACCCATCTACACATTACAATTCAGTGGTTTCCAGCATATTTAAAGAAACCATCACTACAGTCAACTTTAGAACATTTTCATTGCCACGAAAAGAAACCCCATACCCATTAGCTATCATCCCTCATTCCCCAAAGCCCTGGCAACCACTAATCTACTTCTGCTTCTGTGGATTTGCCTATTCTGGACATTTCTTTTCTTTTCTTTTCTGAGACGGAGTTTCGCTCTTATTGCCCAGGCTGGAGTGCAATAGCACAATCTTGGCTCACGGCAACCTCCATCTCCCAGGTTCAAGCGATTCTCCTGCCTCAGTCGCTGAGTAGCTGGGATTACAGGCATGCGCCAACACGCCCAGCTAATTTTTTGTATTTTTAGTAGAGACAGGGTTTCTCCTTGTTGGTCAGGCTGGTCTCAAACTCCTGACCTCAGGTGATACGCCCGTCTCGGCCTCCCAAAGTGCTGGGATTACAGGCGTGAGCCACCGTGCGGACATTTCTTATAAATGGAGTCTAAATGGAATTTATATAAAATGGACATGTCATATAAATATAATATGTGATTGGCTTCTTTCACTCAGCATACTGTTTTCAAGATTTATCCACATTGTAACATGTATCAGTACTTCATTCCTTTGTTACATTGTTACAGCAAAACAATATTCCATTGTACAGAGATACTGCATTTTAAAAATTCCATTCATCAGCTGATGGATATTTGGGTTGTTTCTACCTTTTGGCTATAGTGAATGGAGCTGCTATAAACATCTGTGTACACTTTTTTGTATGAATGTATGTTTTCATTTCTCTTGGGAATATACCTAGGAAGGGAACTGCTGGGTCATGTGGTAACTGTTTAATTCTTTCTTTTAAAAAATTTAAATAAACCATGGCTATATTAAACCTTTTTCTATGGAGATGGGAATGAGCTGCAAGAGAGAGAGTGGACAACTGAAGCCTCAAAGGCCTTGAGCAAGAGAAAAGGGATAAGATCCAATACATGAGTGGAGGTATGAGGCAATAAGAGGAGAGACACCCTTCCTCCTCTGTAGCAGAAGGAAATAGATGGTGCACATGGAGATTAGTTGGTGTTGGCAAAAAGAAGAGGAAGTATAGTCAGCCCTCCATATCTATGGGTTCCACATTCATAGGATCAACCAACTGTGGATGAAAAATTCTCAGAAAAATAAAATAATACAATAGTAAAAAGTAACAGAAATTTTAAAAAAAATAGCATAACTATTTACATAGCACTTACCTTGTATCAGGTATTATAAGTAATCTAGAGATGATTTAAAGTATATAGGAGAATGTATGTAAGTAACATGCAAATGCCACATACATCATTTTGTATCAGGGACTCGAGCATCTGTGGATTTTGGTATCCTTGGGGGTCCTGGAAGCAATACCCCATGGATAAGGAGAGACAACTATATATGTCCAGGGGCCTCCATCAATTCCGTGAAGCATGAGCAAGGGCGGAGGAACGGGAGTGGGGATTTGCTGAGGAAAAGTAGTAGTCTCCAGAAACAGAAGCCTAGAGAGAGATGTGGCCAGACCACTGGGGCTCATGATCAAGAATGAAAGTGAAACTAGTCAGCTCCCTTGTGAGATTCTTTCCCACTAATCAGAAGTAGAAAATGTCATCAGGACTGGAGTTGGGCCAGGCAAGTTCAGAGAAAGGAGGAAAAAAAAAAAAAGCGGAGATAACAGCAAGGGACTGATTATACTGATAGGCCATGGAATCTGGGCTAGCTGAGGTGACAAAGGCAGGCAGGAGGGCAGAGGGTGCTGGGTATTCAGGAAGCAGTGGAAGCCTCAAAGAAGCGGAAGTAGTATGGGGCACAGGGTTGGGGGCAGGGGTGTGTGAATAAGTGTGCCAAAGGCCAGCAGGATGTTAGACACTGAGACTTCCTGTGCTAAGGTCCAGGGTGTGGGCATGCAAGCGGGAGGCTGAGTGGGAGTACAGCAGAGGATGCTAGAATCAGGAGCCCAGAAACTGAGAGGATGGGGTTGGACCAGAAGGTCTGTAAATGACAGCAACCAAGAGGAGCAAAGAGGGGTATAAGGAGGTAGCATAGGCTACAAGAGGATTCCAACGGTGTGAAAGCAGCAACGGAGACCAAACAGATGAGGGACAGGCATTGCAAAGGGCAGAGTTTTCTTTCTTTCCGTTTTTTTCTCTTTTCTAGGTAAAAGTAGAAGTCAGCAACTCTATGGCTGCAGTGGGAAAAAAATGGGGAAGAATGTGTAGGTGTGGTGGGTTTGCCGGCTCGTGATACCCAAAAGTCTGGGGACCCCTGATATAGTTCAATTTTTTAAGACAGGGTCTTGCTTTGTCACCCAGGCTGGAATGCAGTGGTGTGATCACAGCTCCCTGCAGCCTAGACTTCCCGGGCTCCAGCGATCCTCTTACCTCAGCCTCTTCAGTAGCTGGGACTACAGGCACGCACTACCACACCAAGCTAATTTTTGTATTTTTTGTAGAGAGGGGGTTTTGCCATGTTATCCAGGGTGGTCTTGAACTCCTGAGCTCAAGCCATCCTCCCACCTTGGCCTCCCAAAGTGCTGGGATTACAGGCATGAGCCACCGCGCCCAGCCCCAATTCCTTTCATTTTTGAGATTGGGGAGCACAAGCTGGCCCAGTGTCACACCACAGCAGCTGAGCCAGGACTCAGATCACCTGCTTCCCAGGCACTGCTCCTTTCCAGTGCCCACTCTGTGCCTGCTGATAACCACTGGCATGTAGACTGACTGCTAAAGTCAATTTGTGTTAGGAAGCCACTTCTGGCTGTCCCTCTCCGTCCCTTACTGGGCAAAAAAATTTCCCACTCCGTCTACTTAGTAAGTGACATTGCCAAGATCTGAAGACAGATCCGGCTGCCTACCCCATCCCCAGCTCCCCAAAGTGCCTTTACCTGGGCACTTAAGGTGCTTTCTATTTTAGCTCTAACTTCCCTTGGCTTACTCTGTCATCCTTATAGCTTCCTATAGCCAAAAAGCGCTGATGAGCTGTTCAGTGAGTCTACCCTCAAACAGGCCACACGAGTCTCCCTCCCTCCCTGCCTGTGCTCATGATGCTCTCTCTACATCTTGCCCCTACATCTCTTGTAGAAATCCTTCCTATAACTTTCCAAGCAGGGGTAACAAACTCAAATGCCCTCAGGAAGCAGACGAGTAGAAGAAAGCTTCTACTTCACTAAGCTGGGTTGGGTCCCCCACACCACCCTTGAACCGCCTAGATCCTTGATCAATCTCTCTCTCCGCATCTGTTTATGAGGCCCCGGTGACCACAGGACCAGACAGCCACCCCGAGTGCTGGGTGACCCGCCGCCTCCTCCTTCCGTCCCAGCCTCAGGCGCTTACCTTGGCCACCTCCCAGGCGTCCACGGGCCAGCGGCCCGGCCGGCAGTTTCCCCAGTGCACGTCTCCATTTCTGTTGACGTGATGTCTCAAAATCTCCTGTTTCCATTCAGCGCACACCTGACACTGAGGCTGAAACTACAGGAGGCGGCGGTGAGCAGGGGCCCAGGAGGGAGGGGCGTCGCGGTTGGCCCTGCCTCGCGGAAGGAACAGGACACTTGCGCTCTGGGTCTGGGACAGGAACGGGGATGAGGAGGGGTGGGGTGGGCACGGTGGTCAAGGCCCCGAGCCAGGTGCTCACCTGACGGGCGCGCGGGCTGCACCGTGAGCCGCCGCGGCAGACGGCGCGTGGCCCCAGGCCGGGGGCTGCGGCGAGTAGGCCGTGGTGGAAGGAGAGCACCTCACGGCCGACGAAACCCTGCAGGCAGCTGCGCAGCAGCAGCAGGCAGTGGCCCGCCTTCACCCAGTTCTTGTACTCAGCGCAGTTGAGGCGCGCCGCTAGCTCCGACAGCACCATGTCTCCCCGCTTGTACCCAGGAGACTGCGGGGCGTGGCGGACAGCAGTGCGCAGGCGCGGCGGACGGCAGTGCGCAGCCGCGGAGCCTGGGAGGTGCCCGAGGCAGCGGCGCCTGCGCCTGCGCGGCGCGGCGCCACCGATCCCGGGGCGGGGCGTCTTGACTTCCGGGGCACGTCGGCTCCACCCCACTTGGGTGACGTCTGACGTCTAAGAACTTTAGTGCTTGGGGAAGCAGCCGCTATTTGAAACCCTTAGGCCTTCTTCGTCCCCCAGAGACCCTGTCAGCATCCAATTCGACTTCCTCTCCTAATGTAGGGCACTTCTGTTTTAACTTTTTTTTATTGTACAGATGTACAAGATGCTTAGGGCACATTACTTGAATCGTGTGTGTTCTTTACATTATACAATTCTAGAGTTACTGGTGCCTAAGCCCACACACCAGCTGTAGCAAATTGAGGTATTAGTGAACCGTGACCACTGGCTGCCGGCGGTGTGCCAAGCTGACCCAAAACTCAAAATCCCCCGCCACTGGACCACCTAGAAGGGGGCATTTGCCTGTTTAGGGCAACACATCATTTGGATTCTAGAAGGCTGCACATCTGAGCCAGATAAGGACATCCTGAAGCACCTAGCAAAGGTTAGACGATAACTATCTAGTATTCTTGGTTATATGATAATTAGTGCTCCTTGCACATGGAAGTCTGATTTAAGTTCCAAAGAAGTGCCACAAAGGTCAGAAGGCATTGGGATTGTCAACTCCAAGTGACAAGTCAAGTCAGTTTTAGTTGTTTTTAGTGAGCTTTCTGAGCTTGGAAAACATGTCAAAATTGTGTGTAGTTAAAAGCCTCTGAGGAAAGAGTCCAAAACATTAAACCTTCCCCTGACTGTGGTTCACAGCAAAAATGCCCAGTGTTTAGAAGCACTAGCTCAGACTCAAACTGCCCCTTCTTAGCAGTTCGATCTTAAGCAACCTTAATTTGATCTCAGGCAAATTACATTTCTCTCGGCCTCCATTTAGTCATTTTTAAGAGGAGGATATCAATAACCTACCACCCTGGGTTGTTGTGAGGATTAAACACACATTGAAATATTAAGAAAATGCCTAGCACATAGTAAGCTCTCAATAAATACTTGCTATTATTTTATATTGACCTAAATATGCCCTTTCACCAATCAGTTATATTCTTGGGCAAGGTATTTCAACAAATCACTGGTCACTTGGAAGTGGAGGCAACTTACAGAAAATTGTGAGCATATCATGGAGTTCCTGGAGTTGTGCAGCACAGTGCTGGTTGGCCTCTGCTAACTTTGTCTTAATAACCTCAATGCTAAATCCATCCTAGGTAAATTTAAATCACATCCTTAGACACAGTGTCCATTCTCAAACCAAATGAAAAAAAAAAAAATTCCACAAGAAACAATGAAATATACATTAACATTTTCCCTCTATGTCCCTTGAATGTAAGTTCTCTTAAAATTTTCTGTATACTGATTTTATATCAAGAACACTTGGATGATAAATAAATATTAAGGTAAAATGTAACAGACATTTCTTTTGGGGGGAAATAAACTATGAAAGGAACAACTTTTTATATTGAAATTGGATCAGAATCCAGGGTAGCAAAGTTATAACTTCTTCAAGTTATCAAATTAACCACAGCCGAAAGAATGGCTGTTAGTATCCTTTGGCTGAACAGATTACTGTGTTAATTAGAACACAGTTATTAGTGGCTCTTAAATTCAAAGTCATATATATTTCAGTTTATGCTTGCACTTAACTCACTCAGTTAATTTTCAAACATAAGGTTCAGCTCCTGTTATTAACAACTTGACATGTTCTGTTGAAGCTCTCACTTTTCTTCTAATTCTGAAAGTACTTTTATACATTCTGAAGTGGCATTTCAGCAGATGGAAAAATGAAGATGGCAAATCAGGACCAATTTCTTATTTCAAGGTTAAATTAATACTAAACCAGACTATTAACGAAAACATCTTCATCAAAATTAACTAGAGAGAGTTGGTAGTTCTCTGAAACTTTGTATAAATTTTATTTATTACTGGAAAATACTAAAATCACATTGAAAACACCTTAAAGTTAAGTCCCAACCCGATTATTAGAGAAAATCACTTGGGCATCCAGTCCCTTTGATTGAACCTGGGTAACAAAAGAGGCAAAAGACATGATTTGTGATGAAACTTACTATTCAAATGCTAAATGTTTTCAAGCTTTAATAAGGTATATATCAATTCCAAGTACCAAGCATAATATAAAAATTCAAATTCATGGGTTTACTCTTAATAAGCATCAAAAGCAAATTCTGTTCACTGAATCCTATCTTTTGATTGGCACAATGCATTCAGAGATGAGTTATAATTAGGAAAAAAGAGCGTCCACTGAATGCATCATGTGTAAAAATGCAATTAACATTTCAAAACCACATTAAAAGGGAAAATACCTAAAAAGTTAACTCTTAATAAAATTATTTGAAACAATATTATCCTGCAGATAAAAATACATTTCTTGTATATACATGTAGATTTCTACATGAAAGAAAAGATTCAGCTCCAAATAGAAAAGGGCTGACCCTTGAAAAAGACATCTTAGATTGCCAAACTGATGTGATTACCACTGTAAGAACTAAAAACAGAAGGATAAAAAGGTTAAGTTAAAGGAAGGATAAAAGTTTAGTCAACTGCTCCTGAACAGTGGTAGAGTTGGGTGAGAAGTGGGAGATGAAGGCAGAAATAAGACAAAGAAGAAAGGCAAAGAAGGCCTCAACTCTGATTGAAAATGAGTGGAGAATCAAGCAAAGTTGAGAACAGATATGACATAGGTGCAGTGAGACACTTCAAACTAGAATTTGGTAGTTGATAGTTATAGAAGCTCAATTAAATCATCTTAAAGTAGAATTAGACAAAGCATCTACATTTTAATGGAGAACCAGTCTTACAGTGACCAGATAACTCAGCATGGTATTATCATTTAAAAATTTTTCCTAAATACCATGAAGTCGGTAGAAGACCTTTGCATCAGATCATGTTCTTTGAAGCTGAAAAAAGTCCCTGACTGACTAGGAAAGACAGCACAGTACTCCAAAAAGAAACCCTGCAGAGATGTATCAACACCAAAAACTCCATTTGACCCTGGACAGGCCCAGGATTTGGGATTCTTCAAAATGAGGGGAATGGACCAGGTTTCTTCCAAGCAAAACATTCTATCGTTTTGTTGACAATGAATTAAATTGAAATTGTTTAGAACAATCCCAATTTTGGTGGGGAAGGCAAGGAAGATAAGTTAAGCAAGATAAAGAAAGCTCACAGAAACTTCATGCAGGGGTACAGCATTAAAGTTCTTTGTTTCCTAATTAATGTTGTATGCAGAAGTATTCTGTAAACTAAATTTTCCTGATAGAAAAGTTCCCACATCCTCAACAAATGAGAATGATTGCATTATTTGGGATCCTTGATCAATATGAACCACGTACTGTCCCTTCTCAAAGACTAAGTTCCTTATTTTTCACCCAAATCCTATATATTGAAAGACAACTGAGGTGCTAAATGTTAACCACTAGTCAAGTTAGGAATGTCTGAAGAAAACATATTAACCTTGACATAAAGATGATGTTTTCGGTCAAATTTCAGACATGTATTATTATAAATTAATAACTGGCTCCATCCACCAGGTTAAAGATGAAGGAGGGCCTAAGATGTCTCTTAGAGTTTATATACACACAAGTGAGTGTCACTGTTTTGTTTTGTTTTTGACCTAGTTTTATTAAATATTGCTTCCTTGGGGTGTGTTTATAACAACTCCCAGAACATTTCATGTAAGGATTCAAAGCGGTCATATTAAAATACAGCTTCAATATAAAGTTTATCACAGTTTTACAGTATTCAAAAATGACAGACCTGCCTTAAAAAACAAAACAAAAACCAAAAAAGGACTATTACACCCAAAACATAAGAAAACAATTAAATAAACAAGTTTGGCATTTTCATAACTTTATAGTATAAAACAGAATATTAAATTTATTACTGGCAAACGGACACTGATTTATTTCCTTTGAAATGTGTCCCATTTAAACACACTATACAAGTTCATTATACAAAAGATTGATGATCATTTTGATGAAAGAAGTGCACCCTGAAAATTTTTGCCAGTTTAGAATATTTAGCTCTTAAAGTTTTTAAAAAAAGTCCTTTTCCTTTTTTAAACTGAAGGCTGAATTCAGATTTTTTTTGTTGTCTCATCTGTCAGCCTTCCTGGTTTAAAAACAATAGTGTCTATGGACGCCCACCAGGGGGCAGTGTAAGATTAGCCATTAAATCACGAACAGCTGCAAATATTGTGCATTCACCTGCAACAGAGAAAAATGGTCATTAGCTATTCGCAATACAGGTAAGATGATGTTAACACACCGGTGGGGGAAGGGGTAATTAAATCTAAAATTAGTAAGAACTTTAAAGATCAAAATAAAAGACAATTTTAACTGCCCAGATTATTGGGGATTAAGCTGTGGTGTTAAGTATCAGATTATATTTGTTTGGATTTTTTTTCTCAGGAGGAAACTTCAAGCAAGTCCCAGTTAGGTCTGAATTTAGGAAGATATGCCTAGAGTTTCTGTTTAGAAACAGTGTAGCATTAGATAAGCCTTTGAAGTTGGGCTTTAAGGCTACTGAGTGCTTATGGGCATTTTGGATATCATAAAAACATCTAGTTTATATTTATGCATTAGTTACAACTTTGGTGGTATCTTTCAAACATTGCATTAAAGGCCAGATAAAAAATTTTTATGACAGCGCTGTCCAATAGAACTTTTTCTGATGATGGAAATGTTGTATAAGTGTGCTATGACTACTAAGCACTTGTAATATAGCTATTGTGACTGAGGAACTGAATTTAAAGTTTTATTTAATTTTAATTAAATTTAAGTAGCCACATGCTGGCTAGTGGCAGTTATACTGGACAGTGCAAGTCTCTGACATCTATTGGAGTTTTCTCCCAAAATTCAAGGAAATGGTCAACTTCCAGAGTTCAACATTAAAATCAATTATATACAAAAATGATTTTTCTTAAAAGCACTTCATCAGAAGAGAAGTGATGGGTGTGGGAGGTGGGGTGGGAGACTGAAGTATGGTGCACCAACAATCCAAAAACAA